TGTCAGCTTATCGCTGCTTTAGGCCTGGGGAAAGAGCCCCCATCACCCATTGAATAGGAGGCTGGGCAGAGAAGAGAAAAAGCTTTTACCCCTGTCAGTAATCTAATCCTGACTTTCCAGCCCGTAGCCCATCTCTATGCCAACTGAGGTATCCCAGCTCACTGTTAGTGTGAATGCCAAAGATTGCTTTCATGTGTGCACAAATTAAAAAACCATGGATTCACTGGCAAAACTGATCAGCTAGAAAACTGTAGATAACTGAAATCTGTGTTTGGTGAGAAATTGCTGTATTCCTTTGTCTGTAACTTTAAAAACCCCATTAAAATTCTTAGTTTCATTATAATTTAATTTTCTAACATGTTGACATATTTATAAATGGAAGATTATGGACTTAGATATAAAATGGCATGTTTTTAGCAGAACAAATGAAGCATAATAATACAAGCTCAGAAAATAATAATGTCTTATCATCTCTTCAGCATTCTTTTATTCATATGTTATATTTTAGCGTCCTGTTGCACTGATTTAAGTCCATGATTTATTTAAACCGTCTTGCAGTGCATACACTCATCTATCTCCTTCTCTCACTCGCACTACATGTTTCGGCATAAAAATGCCATCTTCAGGTGCTTACTCAATCCACGCCAAACTAGTTCATTACATGCCTTGTCCTCACATTAAAATAACTAAAATATATATCTATCATATACATTGACAAATGTCAAACGTTAAAAATATTGAAATTGTTCAGGATTCCTCATCGCTACATCACACCTCACTACGCCAGTCACGCCCATCCTCCTCTGTTGGAGCACTCCTTCACTATCGTGTGTGTGTTGTGCTTTTATAGTATAACACACGCAGTCACAGGAGCAAGACACAACAAAAGCACAACACACACACGATAGTGAAGAAGTGCTCCAACAGAGGAGGATGGGCGTGACTGGCGTAGTGAGGTGTGATGTAGCGATGAGGAATCCTGAACAATTTCAATATTTTTAACGTTTGACATTTGTCAATGTATATGATAGATATATATTTTAGTTATTTTAATGTGAGGACAAGGCATGTAATGAACTAGTTTGGCGTGGATTGAGTAAGCACCTGAAGATGGCATTTTTATGCCGAAACATGTAGTGCGAGTGAGAGAAGGAGATAGATGAGTGTATGCACTGCAAGACGGTTTAAATAAATCATGTTCTTTTATTCATGTTTAATGTATTACATAAGAATACACTGATGATCTGAAACAAGCCTAAAGTACATATGTGTATAAATCGAATGCAACAAAGTAGTGTACACAGTATTATCTCGTTAGTAACGATTAATCCAAATAAATCATGTTCTTTTATTCATGTTTAATGTATTACATAAGAATACACTGATGATCTGAAACAAGCCTAAAGTACATATGTGTATAAATCGAATGCAACAAAGTAGTGTACACAGTATTATCTCGTTAGTAACAATTAATCCAAATATTCTTGCTAAAATTATTTAACAAGTATAAGCTCTATTGGTTGTATAACCATGATTATATAATTCTTTTGTATTGCTGAGATCTGATTATAATTTCAGTCTGGGAGAGTGAAAATTAATGACAAGGGAAGACAGAATAAGAGCCAAGAACATTTTAACAAGACATTGTCAAATATAAACTCTCAGTAATAATACTACAGTGCATACAATCAAGTGTGCACCGCGGCTGCAATTTGCCATGAGTCATACCACCGCAGAACGGATGCAGTCGCGGGGAGGAGTNAGGTCTGGTGAAGATGATGCCATACATAGAATGCAAAGTCTGATTAAAAAACTGAATTTAATTATAGGTTTACTTATACTTGTGCAAAATGTTTGATATTTTTAAAAAAATTTCTTTTATTACCTCATTTGTTAACATGCTAATTCAACATTTTAATGGCTAATTACAGCACTTGTATGAGTAAAAAAATAAAAAATTGACAGGCTACAGTTCTAACTGTATAATCACATGGTGTCATTTAGATTAAAAAGTAATTTGCTGAAAGAATTAACACGTTTGCCAACTGCATTAATAGCAAAAGTTAGCACTAACTCTGCCGACAAGCAGCAGGTGCTCAGTCAGTAGTTTGCTTGCATACACAGAGTTATTTTATTGATAGCAAAAGCACTTCTAACACAGGGTCAGTTACTGAATGAAACACTAAACACAGACAAATTGTGTTTCTACCAGGGCACATATGTAAACTACTTCAAGAACTGAAGGACAAAATGTAGAGCTCTCAGAAATGTTTACAAAAGGCAATAAATCTATGTAATGTTGCCCAATACATAAATTCTGAAGATTTAAGTATTCTGATGTGCTGGTATAATGATGCTTGATAAAAAAAAATACTGTGGCAAAGAGCCACCAACTCTCTGTGTTTAACAGAGTCACTATTGAATAAGTTAATTCAATCATGGTCTTATGAACTGTTTGTCTTACATACATTATATTTCTTCATTAGATATGTGTACCTTGTTTCAAAATACAGAGAAAGTCTCTTGCAGTCAGGGGTGGAAATGGCTTTTCAGAACTAGGTAGATGCTCCAGCTCAGTAGAAATGCCTGGGTAAATGACAAACGCATATTTAAAAGAAATTATTATGCTGTAGGCTCAAGAATTTGTTCCTAAACATATTATTGTTGGAACACAGTAGTTATAATGTGGGATGTTCTCACAGTGTTAAAGCACTGGAAATAGCTTCCTCAGAATGAAGTGCTCTGGAACTAAGTAGAAGGTATATATTCCTTCTATCCCACTCCAAGCCCTGCTTATGTTGCAGCTTGTAGCAACTGAAATGTTCTGGCTGTATCAGTTTATAGTATTTATTCAACATTAAAATTATAAATGTTTGTTAGATGTGAGATTCTCACATTGGTGACTGAAGAGTACTATTTTCTGGGATGTGAAGCCATGTAGTCTGGTAGAAGTTCACAGACATTTTAGAAGAATATACTGCCTCAGCCTACAGGGTTAAATAGTAAATCAAGTAAGAAACCAGGAAGAAGTATGAAGCAAAAAGAATGGTTTTCACACTTATCACTTCCCAGAAGATAATACTCTTGATTGCAAATGTTTACATTGTAATTGATTGGTCCATTAAAGATTATCATATAATAAGTGTTTAATCATCAAGTAAGTCAGATTCACTGAGAAAACTGTTCTCTATAGTCCCTAAACTTGAAAGAATTAACTTTCTTAGCAAGAAATGCCCCACCATATATATATATATATATAT